ACGTAGGCCTCCAGGGATCTCAGGAGCTGCTTCGGTTTCTTTTTGGTGGATAATTCCAGCTCTGGAGGGGTCAGAGGGAAAAGCATGAGGACAGAGAGCGAAGTCTGGACGCTGTTGGGGACGCAACGCGCTCCTGGGGTAAGGTTTTGATCCTTATATTATTCCTGGTGTCCCCGACGTATCCCCTTGGGAAAGGGCACGACGATGTTTTGCTTGGGATGAGAGAGCACAAAAAGCTCCTCGCCAAAAGCCCCAGCCGAGCGCAGCATCAGCCCCAGCTCCCCCGAGACCCCCCCCCGGGAGGGAAAAGCCCGGGGAGACGGGTCGAAGCGGAGCCAGACCGCGACAGCCGGGCCCCGTTTTAAGAGGCAGCCATTAGCACGGCGCATCCGAGCGGCTCTGTTGACATTAGTCTGCTCCGGAGTAAATAATCCCGCTGGTTAATTTAGCGCTCGCTGCGTGACGCAAGCGAGCCTGGGGAGCGAGAAACGTCCCCAGTTGTCACCCACCTCAAGCCAGCAGGACACGGCTGAACGTGGTGGGCGCTTCCACGAGCGCTCAAGATTTGAGATGCAAAATTGGGAGGGAAAAACCACCCCACAGGGCACTCAGATGGTTAAAGATTGTTGAAAATCTTGGTGTGAAGATTAAACGATGAACGGTCGGGGCTTTCTGGGCGTTACATCCCTTGGGGCTGGGCTCAGCAGGACACGAACGTGCTGAGAACACACCGGGTTTGTCCTCTGGGGCTCGGGTTATTTTCCTCGACTGGAAAAGGAGGGGAAAACACACCCTTTAGGAGAAAGCCGGAGTCGGCAACGGTCTTGTGTTGCCATTTCCAGACGCGGTAGAGCTGCAGAAAAGCCGCCGCGTACAGTTCGTTCAGCACGGCGATGACTTGCTGCCTGCGGTTGCATTCCCTGGAAGAGATGGAGGGATCCCGCTCAAGGGGAAGGAGCCACCGATGCCCTTCGAGGTCCCCAAAACCACCCCCCGGCCCGGCTACGGAGCCATCGGCCGCTCCGGACCTCACCTGGAGAGACGTTCCTCCCTCAGGGCCTGGATGACGATGCGGGTGATGTTCACCGACATGATGCAGAAGGGGAAATTCTGCAAGAGAAGGAGCGTTATCGCAGCCGAGCTGGAAAAAGCCGCCTCTCCCGCGGCACGCGGAGGTGACCAGCCACCTCCAGCCCTTTTACGGCGCATCCGCACGGCCCCAAACCCGTGGGATGGCGGCTGCAGGCAGCAGATCCACGTGGCAGGATAATAATACGGCGGATACAGGCTCAGATGGATGCTGTGGGTCGAGCCGAGCTTATATCCAGGCTTAAACTCAACCATATCCGAGACCAAAATGCCAAGTTTAAGGAGACGGGCTCCACTTGCTCCCATTTTTGCCCTTTTAACCTGCACAAGTTCAGCTCCAACCCAGAATCCCGGGAGCAAATCTCCAACCTCCACCAGGACGCTAAAATCTCATTCCCAGACTAAAGCCTGGAGCTCAGCTCCAGCCTCCGATCGGAGCTCCTCAGCTCTTTGGGGATCACCTTCCTCCCCTGACCAGTGCGAGGGGAAAAAAAAAGTCAAGCCCTTACTCTGAAGAGAAGGTTTTTGTGCTTCCCTTTCCCCGAGCGTTAGAAACAACCAGGTAGATACCACTGCAGGGAGCACGCGAAGAAGGCGGAAGGACGTGCCTGGGTTTCGTGCTGGGAGAGCTGGAAAATCTCTTCAGCCAGAGGCAGCGTCTGAGAGTCCATGACGAAGTACAGGATCTGCATCAAGCCCAGCATCCCCGTCCCGCGCAGGTCGGTCCCGGGATCCGCACCTGGAAGGGCCGGGACAGCCTGGTGAAGCCGAGGGACAGCACGGAGTCGCTCTCTGGTCACCTCCCCGCTTCCGCAGGCTGTTTCTACCCTGTCCCGGTGTTTCAAGAGCAGAGGAATCCCAGTGATTCCCTTCAGGAACCACATCCTGAGGGAAAGCTTTCGGGGAATTTCCCTAACCGGAGTCCAACGGGTGCCGTAGCCTCTTTCACGTGGGCATTAACAAGCCCTTGCTCTCCGACCCACGCACCCATTCTCGTATCTTCCCTAGGAATTAGCAGCTCCAAGCTCACCCCAGGGCACATTTGGCCGATAAACTAACGCTTAAAACCAGCTGTGTGCTTGACGGGACGGCGGAGCGGGAGCCGTTCCCCTCCTGTTGAAGGTTTTAGGCTTCATTAAAACCCGGCCTATTTAGCTCGTGAGTCAACCAGCCCGAAATCTCCTGCGAGGCCGCGTGTGACAGCTTTAATCACGCTGTTTTTCTTACACAGCCGAGGCTGAAAGCAACCTGCGACACAACCTTAGTGACAGAGCCCTGACCTGTGCTTCGCTAATAAACCAGCCCTCCGGAGACGGCTCATTAGCCACAGAGATCGTTTGCTAATGAAGAGCATTAATGGCCCAGGCAAAGCCAACTGCTTCTTGTTATGCCCGGGCCAGCTGGACACGGGCAACTGCGGTTGGGTTTGATGATCGTGAGGGTCTTTTCCAACCTCAATGATTCTATGAAGCTGCGTGAAGGGAGAGGGAATGAGCAGCAAATCCTTTGCGCTGCTTCTGGATCCCACCTCCGGAGGAGGGAATGGGACCGGCGCGATCTCTCTCGGCACAGGTTTGCTCCCAGAGGTCTCTCCCTCTGCCCTACCTTGAAAGCCGAGCTCTTCCCAGTGCGCCCCGTAGCGCGGGCAGCCCAACCTGGAGCGGGTCAGCTTCTTGTAAATGGTCTGCAGGATCCTCATGTGGACTCTCTCGTTGTCATCCAAACCACCTGGCAGAGAGAAAACACCCCTCAGCACCTAAAAAACGCCCCTCGGCACCCAAAAAACGCTCCTCGGCACCCCTGCCCCGCTGCCCTCGAGCATCAGCAGGTGGGGAAAGAAACCACCGCCAGCTGCAGGGTAAAGCCAGAGTCCAGCTGGAAATGAAATCCCGCAGCCGAGAATGGCTTACGGCGACAAGGA